ATGGCATAGAATAGACCTCTGCGCTTTCTGAAACCATTGAGTTTGTCGTGATTTGTTATGACAGACCTAGGAAAGCAATACACATTCTTATTCATCTTAAGCATAACCAGGTTGCTTCTGAAAGATATGCCTTTAGGGTATTTCTAGCTGTTTTTCCACTCTGAATCTCATGTTAGTAGCTGTTGGTTTAATCTTTGTCCCTCTTTCCAGTTTCTGAAGTGAAGCGCTCTCATGATAGGGGCTTACAGCAGAGTATAGACTTGTCAGGAGAGACTTGTCAGCCGGAGAGACAAGCCCCTGGAGAATGACAACATGCTTGGTAAAGTAGCAGGGCAGTGAAAAAAACAGGAGGAAAACCTTCAACAAGATATATTGACACAGTGGCTGCATTGCGGAGCTCAAACATCCGAACAATTGTGAGGCTGACACAGCCCTTGGAAATGTTTCGTTCCGCTGAAGGCTGATTCAAACCCGACTCAATGGCACCTAACAACACACTTGTTTTGAATAGGAAAGACACTTTAGTGACAGGAGTGAATAAAATTCCAAAGCTTAGTCTTTGTTTTATATTCTCATGTATTTCCTTATCCCATTTTGAAGCGGTAATATTTTGGATAATGCTTGGGTTAATGGTTTCTGTTCTGGGAAAGCCAGTTTTACCTATTTAGTTTCACCGAGAATGAGTAGTACACCAGACTGGGAAGAGCACGTGCTTGAAACCAGACAGGGCCACCCCTGCCTCTTTCTAGTAATAAGTGACTTAAGTGAAGACCCTTCGCCTCTCTGATCCTCCCTTTCCACAATAGTGAAATAGAGATTTAAAATGTTGTGCTTGAGTGACATTTCTTTCTTTTTAAAAAAAATCATTTTTTGGAGGGGGTTCATAGAGCTTTTATCACAATCCATCCATCCATCCATCGTGTCAAGCACATTTGTACATTTGTTGCCATCATCATTTTCAAAACATTTTCTTTCTATTGGAGCTCTTGGTATCAGCTCCTCATTTCCCCTTCCCTCCCTCCGTCTCCCACTTTACTTCCCTCATGAAACCTTGATAATTTATAATTATTATTTTTTCATGGCTTAGACCTACCAATGTCTCCCTTTACTCACTTTTCTGCTGTCCGTCCCCCAGGGAGGGGGTTATTTGTAGAGCATTGTGACTGGTTACCCCCTTCTCCCCCCACCCTTCCCTAATCCTCCTGGTATTGCTACTCTCATTATTGGTCCTGAGGGGTTTATCTGTCTTGGATTCCCTGTGTTTCCAGCTCTAATTTGTACCAGTGTCCATGCTCTGGTCTAGCTGGATTTGTAAGGTAGAATTGAGATCATGATAGTGGGCAGTGGGAATGGAAGCATTAAAGAGCTAGAGGAAAGTTGTATGGCCCCTTCCACCCAAGTCTCTGTAGCTGCCACCAAATGATTGGGTAGGACCATGCAAATAGGGTATGTGTAATTCTAACAGAGGGGATTGGTCAGTTTTTGTTATCACTCACCTGACTATAAGAATGAGCCATTTTGGAAGCAGCAGTGGAAGAAAGAGAAACCCAAGGACCTTATGTTCAAGATCTCTGTCTGAAGTGGTGGATCCAACTGAGGCCTGATGTATCAGAGACTGGGCTTGGAGACTCGGAGGAGCCCCATTGATACTATGGGGTGCCTTCTTTTTATACTGATTCAATGGCAGTGAGTTTGATTTTTCCTTATCTGGCCTGAGACTGTGTTACTGTGGGACAGAGTGACAGGCAGGCTGGCTTCCTGGCCTATGGAGGCAAAGGTCAAGGGACCACATGGCTGAAAGACTAAGAACTTGGCTCCTGGCTGGGGAGACCAATGACTGTATCCTTCCTTACTGTTTGCTGATCTTGACTAGTGGTAACTTATGGACTTCTCTAATAAGCTTCCTTAATTGTGAGTATTGTCTGTGAGTTCTGTGTGGCCCTTGTTATGGATTGTCCAACCCAGGACAGATGTAGAGTAGCATGGGAGGAATGGTTGGTGTCAGAATAGGTAAAGAAGGGAGGAGCACAGAGGCTTCCTTGTCTTACAACCACCCTGTGGTAATACGGGAGCCAGAGGAGGTCAAATACAGCCCTCCATGGACGTTTATTGCAAATGTAACAACCTATTGCCTACTTCCTAGGGTTGTGTTTGGGACTGGCACACTGTCAGTGCTTATTAGATGATAATTATTGTAAAATTAACAATAAAATTATAGGGTGATCTGGAAAGAGAAAGCAGGGAGCAGATTAGAAAGTTTATTTCTGTGTCTTCTAGTTTGCCTTCACACGATTGTTATCAAAATGGAATTTTCCAGAATAAAATGGGAATAATTAGTGATAGAGCTTCAGCTCAGAAGTAAGGTTAGAAGTAAGTTTAGAAACAACCTTATCCCCCAACCCCAACCCCAATCACTATCATTGAGTCAATGCAGACTCATGGCAAACTTATAGAACAGAAGAGCTTCCGAGGGTTTCTAAAACAGTAAATCTTTATAGGAGCAGAAAGCTTCATCTTTCTCTTGAGCAGTTGGTGGATTAGAACTACTGACTTTGGGGTTAGAAGACTGATTATACTGCAAGAGTTCCTTAGAGTCAATCCTTAGGCATGTTAAAAACATGGAAAGTGTGAGAGCTAATGATAAGAGTAGGTTTTCAGTTGGAGTAAAGTTAGAATTGGCAGGAGGGCAGATCAAGGCTATTATAAATTAGGATCACAATTATTAAGATAAGGCCATCACCCCCTACACACAAAAATAACTTGATTATTCTACTTATAGGAAATTAAGGTGTGAGGAGTTTGTGTAGTTTCCAAAAAAACATAACACTGTTATTTGTGTAGAAATATGCTATATGTACAGCTAGTTATAAGAATAAATTATTATAATGTTATAGGTAATGCTTTGGGATATGAAGTTAAAACTGCAGGGAAAATAAAAGGTACTGTTTGTTTTAGTGGAAGAAATAGGTAGGCTACTAAGTTCCCTGGAACATAGAGGCACACGTCAAGATGGGGCCTCAATTAACCTTTTAATTAATCTAGAGGAACGATGATAAGGAGAGGTGCCTTGGTCATTTGTATTGAACATGTGTCTTGTTAAGACACTGAAACTTTGAGATTGTTCATTAATGCAGCAAGGTCTAAGCTTTCCAAATCCGATTCTGAGATCTAAGAATCCTAGCTATCGGTTGGATTGAAAACACATTAAACTTCTTGAGGTCCCCTTGTAACTATTTTGTTTGTGGTGTGTCAAGAATTTCAATTTCAATTTTCCCTGAGGCTTTTGAAGCTCCTCATATTTTCTTTCACCTCCACTTGTCCTAATTTTGTCTGAAGAGATAATCAACCAGATTGTTTTTTTGCTATATGGTGAACTAGGTGATGTGTCCTTTCCACCCAACGAGTACACTAGCTGTTATGTTTGTGGATGGTTTATCCACCAGTTGTTGGAAAACCTGGGGACTGACTGTCTATCCGTTCCGGGAGTTTCCACTGTTGTAGAGAGTGACCTTGCATAAGGTCATATCTCTACTGGCAGGGCATGGGGTGGTGGCAGCCACATAAAATGATGTCACACCTTAACATGGGACCGCTCAGGAGGATTTCTTTCACATTGCGCGCGCACTATGGGGATCAGAGTTACTGTTGTAACTGTATCATAGCCCAACTTCATCACTGCCCAATTCCGTTTTCTTCTCCTTCTCCTCTGGATATGGATCCCAAGAGTACTTCCCAATAACCCTGTATCTGATCATTGTCTCAGAATGTGTATCTTGGTCACTCGTGGATCTTTGAATTATTTCAAAGATCACTGTATTTTGGAACCACGACGATCCTGTAAGTTGGAATTGACTTGATGGCAGTGAGTTTGCGTTTGAGGATGTTACCCACTCTTGTTGGTGTTGCCTATAAAAATATTTCTTCCTAATATATCCAGCATCTCTCTAGGTAATATTGAATTATGTTTAGAGAGCTTAAACATGGAAAATGGATCTCAACCTTTCAAAGTGTATTGTGATAGAGGTGAATCAAAACAACCCTGTTTTAATAAGAAATCTTATTGCTACTTGATGACAAGAAAATGACTTGTTTTAGGTCAGACAGCTCTCCCTTCCTCACTGTCGGCAGCAGTGATCCTATTGTTTCAAGTGGGCCCAGTGTAGGAAGCAATCAGCTGTGGCTGTAAGAAGGAGATATTCCTGCCTTCTTCTCAAGAAACTGAAGCCATTACGATATCTTTTAGTCTCACCCAGCATCATGAGGGTAGAAGTGTTGGAAGAGAAGGCCAATTCCTTATTCCAGGTATGTAGGGACAGAGTAGGTATTGCATGATAAGAAGTTAATGATTACTGAAGTATGCAAAGGTATTTGTGACAGAGGTAAATTAACACAATTTTGCCACACTGCCATGATTGAAGAACAGGAATTTGTATGTCTCATTGTTGTAACATGGACAGATAATACAATGCCTGCATGTGTTGATATTCTCTAAATATCTGTTAAATGGAGAATGACTATAAGTGCTGGGATAAAGCCATCAGTAAGATAGACGCGATCCTTTCTGTGCTGGGGGATCTTAGCATGCAGTGGAAATAATATTGTAATAATGCCGAAAGTATGCTGCCTCCCTAGGCCAACGGGCTCAGGAATAAGAACAATTGTGAGGAAGGGGCAGGACCAGACAGTGTTTTGTTTTGCTGTCCATAGGGTCACTGTGAGTTGTAACAAAAACATCAACAAGCCAATGATTGGGAAAAGCAGGCATTCAAGATCATTTGGAGGTAGAGTAATTATGTACATGATAAGTCATAGATGTTTGTCTTGGTATTGTTTTTGTTCATACCTCTTAATTGTCCTTTCTATGGATGTTGTCGTTAATCAGAAAGAGTGATAATTTCTGGTTATATTTGTCTTTGTGAACTTGTAATTTTCAAAGAAAAAGGGGTGAAGTGACATTTTACGATCCAAATATAATTGGAAAAAAGACACAGGACATATTAAACAATATTTAATAAATTTAATAAATTAATAGGAAGTATCACAAAAACCTGCAGTGGATAACGTACAAGAACCAGGAGTAAGACAACACTTTGTAACCATTCACAAAAAGTACCATTTGACAAGGGAAAAGATTTACAGAAAATAATATAAGGCAGTCTGTTGCACGTGTCTTAAACAGATATACATATATAATAGTACATCAAAATGATTTGCTGGACAGTAAATTCACCACGTTCACATTTATTACATAGACTTTTTTTTAAAACATTTATAAAAGTTTGTAGATTTAACATTGAATTGTAAGATTTATATCCAAATGAGCATATTAGCTTCATACCAAACTTCACAGAATTTACGAATAGCACACAATTTGTGGATAATTATTGTGTTCGATACTATTAAGTACTTCTACTTGATGACATAAGAATTTTTAACAAATGTGCTATAAGCTATTATCATTCAATTTATTGCTAGTGCTTTTGAAAATTCGTGGTTTATATTTTATTTCTTTGTAAAACATGTGCTATGAGCTTGCCCTGATAGTTAAGAAATCAGATGTTTCCAATTTTCTCTATTACTCACAATCCTTCTCATCTGAATGCATGGTCTCTTTAAGGGCTGCTGAAGAATCTTCTTTAGTCCTTTTAATATCAGCTACCCTGCCCTACATTGATACAAGTCGATGGATTCATGCAACATACATGGCATACATGCAGGGTACCATCTGTATGGGCAGAACTCATGCTAAGGGCATGCTGTGTTTTTTCAGACATTTTCATCTCAGTAAGAGCTCAAAATCATTCAATTTCATATAATTGTTCAAACATGCAGTTCAACAGCGCTAACAGGCAGGTAGACTTTACCTTCGTGTTAATAGTTGGGCATGCTCAAGCAATTGACTGACATTTGGCAGTGTTGCAAATCAAGTCGAGACTGTATGAGTTTTCTCGAATACAGCACCTTTCCCACTGCCCCTAGGACAGCCTGTTGGATTTATCTATGCTGTGTGTTGAGGACACACACCAGGAGGTTTTGAAATTCAGATTCTGCAGTCACTAATGTCAAGAAACAGAGAGGCACACTCTAAGGTGTGCAAGTAACTGTCAGGCGTAAGAAATAGCATCATGAATTCTTCGGAAATTGATCCACAGTTGTGTGAAATGGGCACACATGGAAATATAGGTACTAGAAAAACACTTGTATACTCTGCACACAGCATAGACTGAATGGTCTGATTTTAGCAATGCTTGAAAACCTTTTATGGTTAACAAACTATTAAATGGTATTGAGTTCTTAGAGAGCAGTAGGCCCACGAATGAAACAATGGCCAACACTTATTGTAACACAGCACTATATTTTAACAAGGATTTTAAACTTCTGGTACATAATTGCAGTACAATGAAGAGCTTGCCACTTTCACAAATTAGCTGCAGCCTTTTCCTGCACTAGAGACTTTGGAAGGATCTGAAAATGTGATCAATTTTGTTTAAATTCCAAATGGAAACTCTGAATTTCTGTTATTCCCAAAGTTCAGTAGAAGCTTGATTTGAATTACTTTTTTTCCACATTCTAAGGGCCTAATTCTGTAGTCCTTAATCAAGTAAAACGTCCAAGGTTTTGGAGGTCTATGCTTCCAATGCACATTTTACTCAAGAATGGACTGCGAAATTAGGTCCTATAGATAGAGGTACCATAATTATGAAAATATTTGAATAAGGCTCAAAATGCTAATTTCACTTTGTGTGTAGCACACGGATTTCCAGGATCCTGAGATTTAAACCCAACTGATGTTGAATCCTGGATTGGGAAACAGCTCTGGGATCTGGTCTCCCAGTTTGGTCCTGGAATTAGGTATTTACTAAGGACCAGAATGATACCACTAATTCCAGTTTGCTTTTCAGAATTGCTAATCAGAATTTGAACATTGTCCTTAAGAAGTGAAAAGCTATTGATGTCTCTATCTCATATCATCCTTCTACTTCTTTAGTCCTGGTTAACCAGCTGCTATGTTAAAATACCACTATGTTTGGGGACAGACATTGCAGTGAGATACCAACACAACAATCTGACAATGTCAAATTTTGCCCCTATATGTAACAACAAGGCTAAGTTCTGCTTGTGACTCACCAACCAATGTGGTAATCAGAAGGCAGAACCTATCTTACTGTATTCAGGTGTGTACATGAGCTGAGCAAGAATTTAAAGCATATATTTACTGTTAACCTGGAGAAAAGATTCCACGGAATTTGTTAATTTGGGTGTGGTTGAAATGTCACCACTGTCATGTGCATCATTCTGGTCTCCTGCAAATGCCACCTGAGATCAACATCAATATTTCCTTATGCACACAAAGAAAGGGGATCAAGGAAGGAAGGCGCAAGGAAGGCAGGCAGGGAGGGAGGGAAGAAGGAAGGGTAGAAGGAAGGAAGAAAGAGGGACAGGAAGAAAACCCCCAACATTCGATTCCTCACAAACTCAAAAGACGTTTATTTTTTGATCTAGTATAAACAGTAAATATAGAACCCTAAATCTCACTATTAGGCATGATTGTAAAGTACAAGATTGCAAAGCTATATATAAAAACACTTTTGTAGACAGCAATATTTACATCAGTTATGACCGACCAGAAAAAGCGAAGGTTTTCCTACACCTGTGGTGTTAGTGTCGGACAACACTGTGCGGCTCTTTCTTACACACTACTAATGCGCTCACTAACTACGCTGGAGGGGTTCACCGGGAGCTCCAAGTGCTCCCCCTGCATCTCTATACCAGGCTCGCCATCATCGGCTTTCTCAGCCACGGGCTCATTGGTGTGCCGGTAGATGTTAACATTAAGCTCCCTCCCAGACAAAGCTGTGGCTGCGACTCTCGGAATCTGCCTGACCGGAGGAGGCTTTTTCTCCGCCTTATAATTGCAGCGCAAATAATTGGAGAATGCCCTACGGTAAATTTTGTTGAAGAGCGTGTACACCAGAGGATTTATTCCTGAACACACATAACCGATCCAAACAAACACATTCAGAAGCTTTTCCATCAGCCGCTGGTTACAGGTCTTCCCACATAGAACCGACAGGATATTGGTGATAAAGAACGGGCACCACATGACCAGAAAGACAAAGAAAACAATCCCAAGGACTTTGGAAGCTTTCCTTTCATTGTTGATCGCTTGCATGGTGCCCCTCGGCCGGCGTTCTTTCTTCTTTCTTCGGCGCTGGTTCAAATCTTGGTTAGGGTTGGCGGCGCTCTCTTCATCATCGGTGTTCCGCTTGCAGCACTTCAAGAAGTCCAGCCCCAGTCCAGGCGGTTCCCCGGTGTGGCCACGCAGTAACATCAAAGCTTGTCTTCGGAGAACGTAGATCGTTAAACAGTAGGTGATTACCATGATCGTCAACGGAATGAAGAAAGCTACGAAGGACCCAATGAGAACGAAATTTGGGTCATTCAGCACGCAGGTGGTGTTGTTCACGAACACCTTGCTTTCGTCCCGCAGTCCGATCACTGGGATCGGAATCGATACACCTACAGAATTAGAATAAAGGTATAACATTGTTATAGCATATTGCATGGGTCTAAGAGGTTGGTACAACCGCACACTCATATTTGCATTTTTGGAAAGAAGATTAGACCTCATTTTTGTTGAAAGCTCTCCACAGCATGAATGGATGATTGCATGAAACAAATGACTGCCTTTTCCATGTTAGGAATCCCCATCATTGAATTGTTCCAAGTAGGGCCGCGCTTAGAGAGGATGGGAGCAATTTTGCTCTGGTCCCAGTTCCTAGAACTGTCCTGGCTCATAGAAGACACTCAAGAAATACTTGAATGAATGAATGAACATATGTCCACTTGTACTCAGTGGCATTAAGGAAGCCTTCTGTTAGCGTGCCACTGTTCAAACTCAATTCAAAATGATATGCATGCAACCTACGGTCATCATAATAGTACATCAAAGTGGCCTGGGGTGAGTTTGAGATGAGTCCATAGTCTGATAACTTTCATTTGTGAGATCAACAAGAAGACAGTTCATGTTTGAGTTCCATGGAGATAGGACCTGAGAGTTCTGGAGCTACTAAGGGGGATGGGAGAGGGATGGTATGGGTGTCCTAATGTGCTATAGGGATAAGTCTGGTCACTGAGCAGAAGTAGTCTGTAAGCAGAAGCTGCAAGGTTTCTCTGTTTTAGCAAGGGTTTCTGTGAGACTTGGGATATAAGCAATATTGATTCAAGGTCTAGAGACTGAATGAAATGCAGAGTTGAGCATTTTTCTAGGCTGGGAATACTGGGAGGCAGTATCTTAAGCACTCCCTTCAATCAATAGGTTTGTAAGAAGAACATATCACCATGGAGGTGAGAGCAGACGGTGATCTTGGTGCCAGAGCATGAGTAAGAGACCCAGGCAGAAGTAGCTATTGTAGATCTTGATGAGGCCTTGCACCAAAACTCAGTATGGCTGGCAGGTGAAATTAAAATTTTAGTTTCAGTTCTCTTGTGTCCCTGGAACGTTGAAAGCTGTGAAAGGCCAGGTTTCACTTCTGACATTCTATCACAAAGCTTCACTAAGTATGAGAAGAGCAACAAGCAGACTGTTGTTTTCCCACCCATAATCAGTACCAAAAGGAGAACATGATGCATCCTCCTTTTCTGGAGCTTGCTAAGAATGCTGATCTGTTTAATCTTTTGGATGATACATATTAGTAAATTTCTAAAAACCGACAGGATGTTTTGTAGAGAAAGAGGCCAAGTGACAGTGTAAGATGCAATAATACACTCAGTGGGGGGTTAGCCAATGTCCACAGCTCTGAACCTACAGTATGCCATTCAAGAAAGTAGGAAAGCCGTGGAAAATTAGGAGGTACTGCAAACAGACATTGCTGGATCTCCATAAAGAGACCTTTGGATCCTGAATGGGAAGAGTGTCAGGTATCAGAAGGGGAACACTGAGGGAAGCTCGCACCAAGTTGGAATGATATGCTTGGGAGAACTTCAACAGGCCTTTTGGAATACAAAAAGCAACAGAACCACAGAAGTTACATTTCTTAAGAGTTTAAAAGATAGTTTCCAGCTGGGTGTTATGGAAAAAACAACACCCCCCGCGCAAAAAAAACCCCTTTATTCGAAGTCATAAATATAAGGACAGCCATCTCTAGAAGAAGAGCAGGTCGAGTTTGTCAGCAAGAAGTCAGAACTAGATAGTTTACCCTTAATGAAATGTTTTAATGAAGGGGTTAGGCTGTAGAAAATTTTCTGGAATTATGGGAGCTAAAATGGGATTAAGAAAACACATAAGAGTTTCTTCAAAAAACAAATTGGAAAAACTTAAGGGAGAGCATATAGATTAAGAGACATAAAAGACCAATCAAGCAATAGCAATATGTAAACCGTATAGGGATCTTGATGCAAATGAACTTCAACATATTCATGGCATTCATGAGTCAATAAGAAATTTGAACAATGATTCATTTCTCAATGATATTAAAGCATTATTGTTCATTTTTTAAAATTGTGGTAATAATATTGCATGTATATAGAAAAAAACATATATTTTTAGATATATATCCTGAAATATTGATGCATAAAGTATTATGATGTCTGCAGTTAATTTCAAAATAATGGGGAAAGGAGAAGTGGCATGTGAATATGGACGAAATATGAAACGAAACCCAACTCACTGCCATCAAGTTGGTACCAGCACCATAGCGACCACAGCAGTACATAATTGATAAAATGTTGAAGCTCCATAATGAGTACATCGGGCTTGACTATATCATTTTTATCTATTTTGGTAATCATTAGACGTTTTCCTAACAATAGTTCAAAAAGTTCTAAAAAATGGGAAAAAAGGAAAAAGAAGACATGGAGGGTCTTTTCTGAAAACAACTTCCGGAAGATCAAAAAAGTCACCAAGACTTAGTGAGCCCTGCTGACTTTGAAAGGGATTACTTCTGGAACAAACGACTTGGATTCCAAGGTGCAAAGACTCATCACGTGACTATAATTGGAGAGAAGACAGTGATTTTCTGGTCGAATATGGTAGAAAACTCTGTTGTGCAATTTGCAATCCCAGTTAGATGAGGAGAAGGGTACAGAGTGAGCATGTGGACCAAAAGATCAGGGCGGGGTGGGGAGCCCAGGAACTTTCCCACTCCTTCTCCCCTACATCATGAGAGCCTGAGGCTAGCCTCACGAATTTACCTTCACTCTGGCCAAACTTCTGATTTCTTGCTTTTAAGCTGAAGACCTGTGCCTACTTCCATCTCCTACAGGTCTCAAAAGGGACTTCATTAGACTCGCGAGGGATACTGGCTGAGAGTAGAGATACCTATGCCCAGGAAACAAGTGCTGGAATGTATTGAGTTCCCCACAGGAAATGCACAATCATTTTAGGTATTCCTAAAGATTCCCAATGTCCTTGGGGAAGGTTTCCTTTCATTGGAAGGCAGCAGCCCTCAGAGACTAGGTCAGGAATAGGATTAGCTTGCTCCTTTATAGGATAGCTTGTTTATTTTCAAGAGAAAACAAGATAAGGTAGCAGAATCATCCCAGTTGAGCAGATGATGTTATTAGATGGGTGAGACCAATGTTTCCCTAGCATCTATTTGTATACATTAATGTAAACTGAAGAAAGGATGATTCTAACAGCTGTCATTTATTGAGTCTATCCTATGTGCCAGAACATAGCCATGCATATTACTGATATTTCAGATTTTAAATGTCAATTTTAAATCTATCAATTTTATTAAAAACCATGCAAGACTGGTGTTATTTAATTTAGTAGCTCAACCACTTTACCAATGCTATACCATAATTAGTTTTCTTTCTTTCTTTTTTTTAAAAGAAACCAGGAATGCAGTCAACAAAACAAAAAGAAATGTAAGGTTTTGAAAATATCAGGTAAGTCTAAATAATGACAACAGAAGCATTAATAACAAATACATTATCACACAGATTATTTATTTAATACTTTAAAAAATTTAAAAGCATGCGTCAGCAGTTCTCAAAGTGAAGTTCAAGGATCCTAGGGGTTTCTGTGAACCTTTTTAGAGAGTTTTCTAGGTTTCTTCATCCAAATATTTTCCTTTAAGACTGAAGATTCCTCATAAATTTTAGTGAAGACAACATTTTGCAACATGTAAAATAGACTATAGATATGAAAATCTAGCTTTCTTTCCACCATACTAGACATTAAAGAGATTTGCAAAATAGTAAAACAGTAGCTATTTTCTCTTTAATATTTTTTGTTTTGAAAAATATTGTTATATTGTTTATGTTAACATTACATGTTTATTATTGCCATTTCAAGTGAAATGACATAGATATATAATGTTTTTAGCTTTAATGTCTAGTATAATAAATGTCAATAGATATAATCTATATAAATAAAAGCTCATTGGAGTCCTTACTTTCATTATTAATAGAAAGGACTCTTGACATCAAAGACGTTGAGAACTGCTATTCTATATTACTATACGAAATAACTTAAGCGGCAAAGGCATCAAATCTTACTATTTTTCAAACTTTAATTTGTTGACCAGTAGAAATTCAAATGATATTATGAGACACATATAAACTACAATACTAGCAACAAAATACTTTGCATGTATTAGCTAATTCATTCTCATAAAAAATTCTGAAATGCACATGTCATTTGCTGAAGTTAGCCTCAGAGCTGTTAAGCAAATGTAATAAATATGATTAAGCACTCTTTAATATTTTTGAAACTCTTAATTTGTCCAAGGAGGAAATGTTGAAATTAAGTACCTTTAAAAATATTAGGTACCAATAAGTGCAAGTACAATGATAGAAACAACTACTTTTTACTAAGTGCTTCTTATTTGCCATGCACTGAGCCAGGGATTTGATCTTTTTGAATGTTGTTGCTGGGCGTAGTCCACCCGACTGTTGACTCACAAGGACACATGTGACAGAGTAGAACTGTCTTTCCTCCCATGAATACCCTGGCTTGATTTCAGTTGGGACCCTTGTTCTCATCAATTGTGCCACCAGAATGCCTATTATTTTTTTACTTTTATATGTTATATTATTCAATTTAGATAAAAACATAAAATAATGGAATTATTAGGTGAAATCACTTAATTTTTTCTGAGATTAACTTCAAGAAGTCTATATCATCCTCTTCGGAATATTAGGGAAAAAATCATAATTCAAATTCTGCTGAAGTTCTCAGGAATTGCTCCAACCAATACACAGCCACATACTTTGCATGCACTATCTCATTCAATTTTCAAAAATTGATGAAAAGTGTTTATTATGCAGTAAAAGTACTTAATCTCATAAAAGTATGTTCACTACCCATATAAGATCATCCCCTTTAAAACGTTTAACTAAGAAACAAACTTATAGTTCAAAATTCATTGAGAGTCTAATGTGTTACTACTATTATGATCATCTATCATGCATAGGTGCTTATTATGATTTATTATCGATCTTATACTTTACATGCATCATATATTTTGCATGCATTATAACATTCCAGTCTCATTAAGACCCATAAGAATGGG